TGCACTAATACACCGCTTTCGTACAATCCGGTTGAAAGTGAATTTTCTCTTACTAGGTACTCGATGTGAGTAAAAGTTGGTAGGTATACCTACGTAACTCTCAATTAATAGCTATCATTGTTACTATCTTTTTAATAGCTAGAAGAATATCTACCAAACTCAAAGAGAAGTATGTCATATAGAAATTATGTTATAAATTGACCTTAGAAGTTAATAACACAATTATATTTATTAACAAAACTCAAGAGAAATATGTTTGAGAAATGTATCCAACAAATACGAAAAATATTTTAAATTGATCCTAATAACCTTTCTGCGGTGCCCAATAAAAACAGAATTAGTAGTTCAATCGATAGTGAAGACTAGATCAACGTAAAAACCGGTAAAAACTAAAAAGTGAAACCGGTGGCAGAGAATTTGCGATAAAAACTTCAAATCCGCTCGGCTGACTTGCTGGTTTAGTATAGTATATCAAACCAGATTTCTTTATCTGCCTAATTTGCCTAACAGCATTAGAATAGGGTTACTCGCGAATCGTTTGTCCTAAATACATATAAAAATGAGTAGAGAGCTGATTTTCGATAGCTTTTGTTTTCCTCTTGCAGAAATCATTTATTTCATACACGAATTGGCGAATCGGTTATTTGCTCATGTATAGGTACAAATATTCTCCTTTGTATATCAATTACTTTCTTCCTCAGGATGAGAATTTCAATCAAATTGCGTTTATTTTTGCAGATGCCATTCGGATGCTTAAAAAGCTAGAAGAAAATGAATTTCAAATTTTGGTTGCAGATATAAGCGCATTCGCCATATCTCAAACATGTACTAGGAATAAAATATCTTCATCTTGACGTTCTTCTACCTATAATCTTGGTTCATCTACAACTGAACAAGGAGTTCTCTCAAAGGAATGTTCTATTAATCATCCGTTTTTTTGTGGCAATTCTCTGGAATTTCCTGGATTTCCTTGGGATTCCTTGGATTTCCTTGAAATTCCTTGGAATTCCTTGAGTTTCCTTGGAATTCCTTGGATTTCCTTGGGACTCCTTGGAATTCTTTGAAATTCCTTGGGTGAAGTGTCGTATATTCCTGGTCGACAAAACAACTGGAATTCCTCGGAATTCCTTGGATTTTCTTCAATTTCCTTGGATTTCTTTGGAATTCCTTGTATTTTCTTGGATTTCGTTGGATTTCCTCGGAATTCCTTGGATTTCCTTGTCATTCCTCCTTGGAATTCCTTGGAATTGCTTGTGAAATTGAAGTTTGGTGTCCACAATTTTAATCGCGGTTTACCCCTCGGAAAAAACCGAAAAGGAACACATAGATTTTTTGGTACCAACAATGTATTGATAATAAAATAATATGGGAATGGGGACATTTAAAAAAAATAGTAAAATATATGTAAAAGATCTCATTGGATTTGTGGATTTTCGAATAGGTATACATACAAAATGTCTTATGTTTGTTCACAGATCGTTCCCAAACTATTGTTATTTTTGTCACTCCATTGAAAATACCTGATGGTATATCTCAGGTACTAATTGTATTTATTCTAGAAATACTTTACGTTTGCACCAAGGTTTGCGCTGACCACACAGCGCATTTTTGTTCAAGTTCAAGTATGTAATATCGTACAACTCTTGTGTTTCATACAACTTATTTTCGAAGTCAGAAATAAATGTTGTCGGCTGTCGGCTTTTATTTTATCCACTCCATATGATAACCCCAATTCCGTAGTTATCGCCTCCTAAGTAATGTATTTTTGAAAAATGCCTGTGTCTCCAGCTGAACTTTTATTTTACTTTCTCTCGAATAATATCGTCAAAAGATTTAAATACAGTTGCTCGACGCACATCACTTGTACAGGGTGAATTCGCGACATGTTTCAAGATTTCATGAACCGTGATCTCTTTGGAATTATTGTTTTCCATGCAGAGATATTTTTGTTTAGTTGATCTACCTCTAATATAACTGAGAATTTGGAAGTTGTGGTTCTCTTTTCAATTCATCTCTTATAAATCGTATATATATCTACGAAGGGAATAGTACAGATATGTCATTTTCCCTTTTTAGAAGTAAAAGTCGGTAAAAGTAAAACGAAATTGACATTTTCTGGATAATAAGATAATGATCTCTTCTCTGTTCTCATTCAGAAAATCCTCGAGAAAATCCCAATTCGACAATAACTCGGACAATAAGGTAATTAATTTACTCTGGGTGATTCTGAATGAGGCGACAAAAATCGAGAGCAAAAATTATTACAGAACATTATTGATATCTTGTATTTTGTGTTTCTATCCCAATTAGCAAAATAAAAAGTTTTCTGGAAGTACGCGGAAAAAACTGAACCTTTGGCACATAATATCCCTCGTAATATCCGGGAAGTGCAAGGGGAAGTGTGATAACATACTCTTATATATGCTTATGTAATACCTGATGTAATGCGATTTTGATCGCATCTTTATATATTATTCCGTAGTTTGAGTGCTGAATATTTGTAAAACCTTTGGCATGTAGATCTTTTTTTTATCTATTTAGTTTAGAAAACTCTTGAAAGACTTTCGACCAATAAGTATTATCGAGTATTATATAATTTTTTAAATTTCAGAATTAGTAATCCGTTATAGGAATGTGCATTGCCTTGTTGGAACAAAGAATAAGATACGTGTACTTGCGTGTACCGATCCCAATCATGCATGAATCTCAAGAAATTCATAGTTGATTTCAGTTTTCTTTAAACTCTCAGTAATCTATTCTAAACGCCTCTCGTAGACCTAGGTTTCGATTAATATTAAAGAGCGAGAGATAATCCAAGTATGGAATTAATTGATGGCATAAATATACGAGTTCTTTTTTGTGTATACAATTATGGTCAAGGCCAAATTAGATAGGTAGGTGTATTTCGTGAGAAAACACAAGCAACCATGATATACACACGAACAAAAAATTTATAAATTCTGGATTAAAGTCGTGGTAGACTTGAAACTTGAATAGAACTCGGCCTGTGGATGATTGAAGAAGGAAGATTAGCTGACAGGGAATTGAGTAATTGCCGTATTACACAGTGTGACACAATATGAAGTCACCCGGCGTGTATTCGAGTCATCTTTGCTCTCAAAAATGACTGAAATACACGCCGGGTGACTTCATCTTAAGTGTATCACACTGTGTAATATGGCAATTTTACTCAATTCCCTGTCAGCTGATTTTCCTTTTTCAATCATCCACAGGACGAGTTCTATTCAAGTTTCAGATCTACCGCGACTTTAATCCAGAATTAATATTTTTTTGTATGTGTGTAAAACATGGTTGCAAAACCAGCCTCGAGACACGGATTGGACAGATTGGACGTAGAATTGGATTGGACATAATATATTATAGACATATATATATAAGTATATAGGGATTGGACATTTGCATTTGCTTCATTGGAGAAACCGAAAAAAGTTTATTGATAAAGTAGCTTGGAAATTCTTTTTTGATCCTACATAAGTACCTATACCGAATTTGAACACAAAATTCGAATTTTGCATTTTTTGTAATTTGCATATTCGATTTTCGCCGAGATTTCAAAGCTATACAAACATGATGAAATAGTCAGGATCAATTTAATAAACGATTGAAATAGCCCATCTCTCAAAATTCCAAATGCGAATTTTGCGTTGCAATTCGGTATGTAGGATCAAAATCGATTTCCGAGCAACTTTTTCACTTTTTTCGTTATCTCTAACGAGTCTAACGCGAAGCAAAATATCCGGAATGTTCACTTTTCGCGGGATCGTAGTACCTATACCTCTCAATAAAGCTATAGCACAGTTTAGTGAATATAATATTAATCTGTGCCTATAGGCTGAGGGGCTGTTACTCGGGCTGAGTATACCAATTGTAGAAAGTGCGGCCCGAGGTGCGGCCCATGAAGACGTCTGTACCAAAAATCAAATCTCTGCTTTCAAAAATAACTGAAATACAGGGGTGTCATCACTGTCATCATCTTGAGTGTGACACGATTATACAATTATAATTTGGTACCTACCATTTTTTTCTGTCTAACCTTTCAGTGAGTTTTACCGAGTTTTTAATGTCATGTTGATACATAAATCGTACCATCATAATGATAATTATGATAATTATATTAAGTGGACAAATATATGTTCTAGGTGTTCATCAGATTTTCCTACATTCGGAAATCATTTTGTGTTGTGTTATCAAAAATTTAGTTGGCCCAGGATACTTATTGAGTTCATCTCCATCAATTTTGCTCTGCAGTGTTTTTGGTGAAAGAGAAGTACCTACCTACGTTCTTTGTAGGTTGTAATTATCTTGAATATTTAACGAGATATAGGTAGATATTTAAGGAATACGAGAACATCACCTATCTTCCAGAGCAGCCTGCAGCAGACAGTTTGATAGAAAATCCCGGAAAATCCATTAGGTACTATGATAACTATAATGTAAGCACCCAAAACATTCAGAAATCGTGAATATTTTGGGAATAATCTGGTATTTTTCTCTCAGTGGTAGTTTTTTACATCTTGCATCGCGAATATTTCAACGAAGCGATGATGCAAAAAATTGAGATGATTGGGGAATCATTCTCAAGTGTTCTGGTTCTTTGACAGTAGGTATACCGAGGTAGGTACGACTTCAGCTGAAAATGCGGATTGATAAGCAAACTCAGTCTGAAAACCTGCGACCTTCGTTAGTAGAGAAAAATGCGGTCGACGATTGAAAATTGCTTCGGCGAAACGAAGAAATGCCCGGGGTTGGTCGATGATTATCTTGATTAGCCTTGGTCACTTGCGAACTCGCGAAAGCCGAAAAGCCTCAGACTCCGGTTGAAACTGAAAAACCAGACGGGATTGCCAGGCAAAGCCAGTCCAACTAGACGAGATAAGATAGGATAGGAAAATAAATTCAGCCAGCCAGGCCAGACAGAACGAGAGCGGCGTCGTAGAAAGAGAAAGGAGTTTGTTTTTGTGGCACCCAGTCCAGCTCACCTGTACGTCCGTGGAATAAATAGCATGGCATTGAAGGTGGCGGTGTCATAGGTTAAAAATTGAGGGTGTCACAGGCAGCCACTTTACATCTACTTATCCCGTGAACATACCGGCAGTCAAAGTCAAGTCATAGGCACGATACGTGAGGCGGACGCGTTGGAAGCGGTCGCGGCAAACAGAAGTGAACTGATACTGAACGGATCAGAGATCACTTTCTCCGTGCGCAGCGCGAAACGATCGCACCCCTACCGCATGCTTCCCAAACTAACACTAGTGCCAGTGCCAGTAGTGCCTAGTGCCGAGCGGCCAACCCAGCGTGCTTTGTGCTTGTGCTTTTGCTTTTGCTTCGCCTTCCCTGTGCCTCGGTCATGTCGTATACCGCCGTGTTATCGACTAGAGGCCAGAGGCTAGGGCAAGCGCCATTTGAGGAGTCGGATTCACCCGAACGACGAACATACAAATGTCTTTGATATTGTACATCAGAGATTTCTCAACGACTATTCGACCAAAATGCGAGCACTTCTATGATTTTGAGTTCTGAGATTCCTAATCCTACGACGCGCCCGAACTGCCTTCCCAGAAAAACTTCTTTTCACGAATTTTACAGTTGCAACTGCAAATTAGATGTGTAAAAAAAAAGTGTATTTGGTGTAATTTACAGTTGCAATGTAAATTATTAGTACTACTTTGCAACTGTCAACAATCAAACTAATCAGAGATCATAATCATAACACAAGGTGCGTCTTTCAGAAAGTTGGCATCATAAATAAAGGTAAAGTATAGGTATTGATGTATATGGGGAAAACTTTTAATACGATTTAATTTGAAGTTCGACTTGGGCGTTAGATTTTGCTTTGAAAAAGATGAAATAGGTATGGCCTATATTTGGTCGGGGTCACGTGACTGATGCCGCTACAGGTAGATTTTTTTTTACAAATTGATATATAAAAATAGCTGGAAATATAGGGGCTTATTCTTATTTTGCTCGAATTTCAAAAACTCTTACAAAAAAAGTTGTTTATTTTCCGGTTTTTCACATGTGTCAAATTTGAACGTTTATTGAGATAAGAATGATAAGATTAGTGTTTGATATTCTTTTTATTTCTACGGAATTTCTGGCATATTAACTTCGTCAAAATTATAAACTTTGTATAGTTATAGATACGTGAAATATAGTATGATGATATATTCTGACTGATGACTGGTATCTTTTTAGCACAGAAAAAAATCCATTTAAATAAATTTCGCTCCTAAAATGCTTGACTCGGGTAGATTCGACTCCTCATGTGGTGCTCGCCCTAGATTCTAGGGTGTTATCGTGCGCTGCGCTCTGGCTTTGCCTACTTGATTAGCATACCCGAATATGTTTCTGTCGGCAGTGCCGGCACTCGAGTCTCACACGAACTAATTTTCTGTGACTGACTGACTGAACCGCGTTTTTTCTCTGCTCTGCGTCGTCTACCTAGTCCCGCTCACGCCGATCTATTGTCCTCTCTAGTCTCTATAAGACTCTAGAGTCTAGAATCATTCTAGATTCACTTTTATTTTAGCCAGGGGGGTACCCAGGAGGAGCGACAAACGATCGAGAGGACTTGAATTCCGAGTGGATGCGGTGGATCGTTACCATCGAGACAACTCGATGGTATAACGGGTGGCGGTGGAAGCATCCATCAGGAGTCCGCAACCAGCTGCCAGGATGGGAATGAGATGAGTTTCCTACTAGTGTATCGATTCACACAATCTCAATTTCCACAATAATACATTTATGCACTTTTATATATAAGTTATTGTGCCCAGGTTGTGCCCAAATCGATATAAAAATATCTGCTTTTTTATCATAAAAAATACCTACCCAACATGCCATCGTCATTTTTTTGAGTCAGAGATTTGATTCGGTGGAAAAAAAATTTAGAGCTTTCAGGGTACTATGAATATTTATATAAAAAAAGGTTTCGACCGTTGGCCGAACAGTTACAAAATAATAATGAATGGTCGCCACTTAAAGTGAAACACACTGTAAATAGTAGGTGTACGTACCGTTTTTTTATCTCTTCGAATGCACCAAATGAAAAAACCCCCATAGGATTGAAGTATATTTTTTTCAACTTCTGGAGTTCTTGATTTTTTACGAAGCAAATACATTCATTTATGCCTACACAGTATATATATGTTTTACCATATTAAGCAAATCCATTTTTTAACGCCTCAACACGTGTTTCGCTATGACAATGTTGGCATCTTCAGGCGTTTCAGGACATTGCAGCGTTTTAAAAAATTGGTTCGGTTAGTTTAGGCAATGAACGAGTTCAATGGTGGAAGGTAAATCAGTGTATATAGTGTGTTACTAATTTATTATATAATTTGATGATGAAATCGTTCTGCTCTATCTAATAGTGATTGTAATATATTGGAGATTCCATCCATGGTCTACATGTGAAAGTGCCCACCCTCTGTATATGTATATTTCACTTTTTTCTTTCAAATAATGGTGGAAAATTCTACTCATCAGATGCTCAGATCCCAAACCTACACCAAAATTGACTCAAACCATAGAGATATTTTTTTTCATTTCTCTCCGAAAATAATCGCACCAATACAATCAAAAACCTTTTTTTATTCAACAGGGTCCAAATCTGTGCATCAAACTATGTCATAATAATTTCCACACGTTCCTCTGATCAGCTGATAAAGGCATCAATCATTGTGTAATGTGTAAAAAGTGTAAACATTCACTAATCACATAATTATCATCATATTTTGCTTCAAATAGTTATAGTAGCGCCATCTATACGATCACTGTGTAAGCTGTAGCAGTCTTATAGGCCCCTGTAGTAAATTTGTTTAACTCGGTAGTTCGGCCTGTAGCCGATAGATGACAAAAACTAGTTGGTAAAACTGATGAATCATCAAACCTACCAACCTTGAGTTGCCCCCCGAGCGTTCTGTGCGAACTGCGAGAGCATTCTTGTTATTCAATGTTCTATGATAATTTTTTAGAATGACATGTTATTAATGATAGTGAAATATTTCATGCAGAAATCGAAAATTACAAATAAAATGGTGGAGTTTTTTGATTATATACAATAATCAGCTAAACGTGCCAATAAATACTATATGATTATTTCAGTAAAGCAGAACATTTCATCGAAACTTGAAATTATTTATCAATATTGGGCAGCCTACATCCAAAAGTGATCAAAAATGCAACCACTTGGTGAAAACACCTCCAATATTCCTGCCTTTTTAGGGAAGTTATGGAAGATGGTAAATGATCCAAATACTGATCATTTGATATCATGGAGTCCGGTAAGTTTGTACAAACCATCCTGAACATTAACAGCCCATTTTAAGACCTATTTCATCCATCTATCTCTAACCTGATTAATATTTCAAAGACCTATATGAATTGTCAATCTATAATATTCTATTTTAGGCTGGGAACAGTTTCATAATACAAAATCAAGCTCAATTTTGGTATGAATTGCTACCACTATACTACAAGCACAACAACATGAGCTCTTTTGTAAGACAGCTCAACATGTGTAAGTAGGATCATATCCTATAATATCCAAATTTTCCACCATGAGTTACAAAAATGTCAACAATTCTTGAACAGTGATTACTATTACTATACAAGTATTCAGATTAATACACTGACAGGAAAACAGAATTATCAGTACTTATGGGTAATTTGAATTTCATGATTATTAAACTGTTCAACTCATTAGATAGGTATTTTAATATATTTTTGAGGTTTACAACATCCATCCTATACCATGGTCAATTTCCAAAATCACAAAATAGTAACTGATAGTCCAGTTATATTTCATAATAATTTCTAGTTAAAAAATATCTTGCTGCTATGTAGATAATCTATAAAATTGTTCCACAAGGTCATTTGAAATTTGTATCTACCTATTTGGTTGCCCACCAAGGTGTTCTATCATGGAATATTTTATCATTTTATTTTTCTATAAAATCCAATTTTTTTTATCTAAAAACCACAGACCTATCAAATGTATTACAAGCACAATGATATGGTACTCAAAACAATTCAATTATTAGAAAAGTATAGTCAGCAAAAAATGGATGGGTATATTCAGTTTTAAATATTGATTTAATATGATTGCTTAGGTTGGTAGGAAATACTGACTACAGAGTAAGTAATGGTAGTAAGGATATCTACTTCATCCAATAGTTCTTCAGATATTTTTTTCTGACATTTTCCTACATATTTTAAGATGGTTTTCACAAAATATCAACTGTTGAAAATGGAGCCATGGATTCAGACAAAGATGAAATTCAATTTTACCACAGATATTTCCAAAAGGACCAGCCTGAACTTCTTAACAACATTAAAAGAAAAGTAATTTAATGCATTATAATACTCAGAAACTATTCACAATCCCCAATTTTTAGGTAACCACTTCAAAATCAGAAAATGGTATGCAGAATGTTATAAAAACAGATGACATTGCCAAAGTACTCTCAGATGTAAAGCATTTGCATGGTAGACAATCAAGTGTTGATTCACAGCTGTCTGCCATAAAGCAAGAAAATGCTGTCCTTTGGAGAGAACTTGCCATGTTAAGACAAAAACATATGAAACAGCAACAAATTGTTAACAAGGTGAACAAAACATTTATAGTAGATCAATAATGCCTGTGTTCTATGTTTTATTTCTAAGTGAGCAGATTATACATTCAAATCGCCAACCCTATATATGTCAACTTTGACATTTCAGCTTATACAGTTCCTGGTGACCCTTGTTCAACCCTCAAATACCTCCAGAATGGGGGTTGGTGTCAAGAGAAGAATTCCCTTGATGATTCATGAAGGTCCCAAACAAAAGTCCAGAAAGAAAAAGACAGTCAAGACTGGTGGGGGTAACAATGAGAATGGTCCTACTATTCATGAACTGGACAGTGAAATTGAGATTCCACAAGAAGGATTGTTTGAACAGGATTTGGAAGAGTCAGTAACGGTGAGATAACATTTTTTTCAAATTAATTAAATGTATATGTTTGTTTTTCTTCAGTTTTTCAAACTACCATTTATTTAAATACTCTTTAGTTCACTTCAATTTCCCAATTTCCACGAGATAATCATATAATAGAGCCCAGGTGAAAAATTTGAATAGAATCGGATTATAATTACCAAACTTGCCGCCAAAGTGGATCCGCCATCTTGAAATTCCTAATTTTGACGAAGGAATCATAATCCCTGATCACTAAAATCCCTAGGTACCAATTTTGAATAGAATCGGATTATAATTACAAAACTCGTCCGCCATATTGGATCAGCCATCTTGAATTTCCTAATATTGACAAAAGAATAATAATTTCCGATCCCGAAACACCCTAGGTATCAATTTTGAATAGAATCAGATTTACAAAACTCGTCCGCCACATTGGATCCGCCATCTTGAAATTCCTAATTTTGAAGAAGGAATCGTAATCCCTGATCACTGAAACCCCTAGGTACCAATTTTAAATAGAATCGGATTATAATTACAAAACTCGTCCGCCATATTGGTTCCGCCATCTCGAGTTTACAAATTCCGCCCGAATTACCGTCATCTTGAATTTCCTAAATTTGACGAAGGAATTATAATGCCCGATCCCGAAAATCTCTAGATACCAATTTTGAATAGAATCGGATAATCATTACAAAACTCGTTTGCCATATTGGATCTGCCATCTTGAATCTGATCTCGAGAATCCCTAGATACCAATTCTGAATAGATTTTGATCATAATCAAAAAAGTCAGCGACTTTTCTATAGACACTTCCACGGGAAATGTTCCTCAGAAATCTCTGCAATAATGCCATCACTAGCAATACCAGTCAGACGAACTCGACAGGACAAGTCAGCACATAATTTCGTCATTGAACTTGAAAAATGTCGTAGAATACTCTACCAAAACTGGTTCGTCTATAGAACGGCAAAGCTTTGAAATTCTTCGCCAATGGAAGTATTTCCAAGAACTGATAACCTCCAAAAGGTAAAAAAAAATCCGCCATATTGGATCCGCCATCTTAAATTTCCTAATAGTGCCGGTTCTTGGTTCTAAGCTACCTCCATACCAATTTTCAGCCACATTGGTTCAGTCCTTCTTGAATTATAAATAGTGTAATTAATTTTGGACTTTCTTCTATATATAGAGATTTTGGGTCATGTAGTAGTTTTTTGTGTACTTATACTTTACACCATCCCTGTATATAAGGTTCCGTGAAGAATTTGAATGGTTCTGATAGGGCATCAACTTATTAAATCAATTATATTGACCTGTGCCAGGTAGTCATGCGGACAGTGTCAATATTCTAATTCGCATCCGCTTGCCGGTCGTGGGTTCGATTCCCATCGACTGCAGAAATTTATCTGATGGTCCAAGAAAGTGTTTGGGATCACACGTTCAAAGGTAAGGCCCCCGTCATTACTTGCTCGCACAAGTCTCTCGAAGACTTCTGAGGGTTGCTCGTAAGGGGGCAACCGAATGACGGATAGAACAATTTTAGAAACATTTTTTTGATCAAGAATTTTCACCTTCTACATGGTTAATTTCTTCCTGTATGGTCAAATGAATACTTATTACAAGTACAATGATATGGTACTCAAAACAATTTAATTATTAGAAAAGTATAGTCAGCAAAAAATGGATGGGTATATTCAATTTTAAATATTGAAAAAATACTGGTGGTATGAAAAATATCTTTTTTTCGATTCTAGGTGTCAAGTCCTGTTACAGCTGATAGTCCCCTAGCTCCAAGTGGTTCACCACAAAGTGAAATATACCAACCAAATTCAGTTTCATCAAATGAAAGTAATAGTGAAACTGGTTTACCTGATAGTTTTTGGGATAAACCCGAATTTGTGGTAACTTAAATGAATGATATATTTCCTTTACAAGGGAAATCATATTTTGTGCTCTTTGTTCAATTGTAATTTTTTAGGAAATTTCACAAATTAATCCCGCGGAATTAATAACTTCTGAAGATGATGTAGCAGCTGAAGAGGGTATCAATAGTCTGCAACGAAAATCTGGAAAAACTAATGAAAGTGATATTTTCATGAATCGTACTTCTAGAGACACTCTCTTGAGCAAAATTGTGAATGGCACTTACAATTCTAATGCCCTGAATGGAAAAAATGGAAGGAAAAATAACAACAAAACTAGTGCTGAAAATGCTAGTAGTAGTACAGATCAAAAGTTGACAGTTGCTACTAGGGATGCAGCAAAAATTAATAATAGGTGAGGATTCTTCTTACTCAAACCTACTCAAAAACTGTTACATTCCCATTCCAGCAAATGCTGTGGAAAATTTTCAGGTATTTCAAAAACATGTGTACAGTCTATCTGAGAAGAGATTACTATGAATAAACCAAATCACTTTAATTGTGATTTCTATTATTTCTAAATGTTAGCAAAGATTCTATTTTACTGTTTGGAATTTCTCAAACTGATATCAGCAGGGAGATTCTATTTCACGAATGGAGTCGAATCGGCCATCTTTATTAAACTGGATTCGATTCCTGGATAGGTCAAGTGGAGTCCAATTGATGTGTTTTGTCAATCTATCCTTATCTATCATCGGATGTTTCTTTTCATCTTTATCTCAATTTGAGGTTAGATCATCTTGTTGATGTGAAAGTGTGTAATCAACTGATTACTTCATAAATATATCATTTTGGATGTTGTTCAAACTCAGATATGCCCACCGGAAAATTTTAATGACATTTTTAGAACAGCATAGTAAATTGCCACAGGACGATTTTCAGAATCGGAGTCTAATTGTCGTGAAATCAATAAAAAACTGTGATTCAGGCTAAGCCAAGTCAATTTATTGGGGCTTGGCGAGCAAAATCCTGAGAAATGGCATAAGGTAGCATCTTTGGTATGATCCACTTGCATAAAACCTCAATGCACGGAATATTTTAGATTCTGAACCAACCTTTTATTTTCAATCTGAATAGCTCAATAAATCTTTTTTCAGGTAAAGAAAAATAGTTAGATTTAGGTACTTCTGTTTCATAGTTCTTGTCGTCGACGAATTAGATCCGAATTTCTTTCCCTAGCTTTAGTTGCTTGAATACCATCTGCAACAATTAGTAACATTATTATTTTTGATTGACATTGGAAAAAATTGAAGTTCATAAAAACTTTATTACCACTATAACCTCAAATTTGTGATGGCTTTGGGGTTATTCGCCAAAAACCCGACGATTTCCGAAGTTGAATTCGATCGCGATTTGATCGAGAAATATAGCGGATTCCATTAGTAAAACTGGCTTGCACTGAGTGCGTTTTGAATTCCATTGGAGAACTGGTTCACATAGTTTAGAACTCAGTGCAACAATTCTTGCACGAGCTCTAATAGGTCGTGCGAAGTCAGTGCAGTTTTGAAAATGGCGGAAACATTGAATATGCATAGTTTAAAAACCAAAATTGAGTGTCAATCTAATCATCATCATCAAGTAGTGATGAAAATTTGGAGGTTTCAGGAAATTAAAGGAGATTACTTCCTAGAATTCATAATTTTGTTGAGTGTTTTGCACTAATTGAATGATGAAGAGGTACTTATTGACAAAAATGCTCAAAATTATTTCCATGAAACATCAACTTTGTTTTTAATTGAAGTCAAGAAAGAATTTCAGGATGCGGACAAGTTATAAACAAAGACAAACCAATTTATCCGATTTAACCTCCAACAATAAAATTTTATTATATTATTTCGTATTCCATTGGGAATGCACCAGTTCACATTTTGGAGAGAACTAACGTAGTGCGGGTGCAAAACTGGTGCGAAACCAGTGCACCACCAGGTTTACGAATGGAATTCGACTTCCGAGTTCATCATCGTATCGAACGACAATCGACGATCGTGAAACAGAATCCCCCTGCAGAAACAGAGAAATAAAGAGGTATTTTTCATCAATATATTCTGATGTCGTCAGTACACTTGGTACTGACGTTTCCAGGGATGAATTGGATCTGCATTTAGAGACGACACAGAGTGAAATCGATCAGCTGAAAGACATATTGCATGGATGCAATTCTCTCGATGCCAATGTACTTCTAGGGGTAAATATGAATCAACTGAGCATCAATCAAAGTAGGTTAGAAAAATCTATTTCAGCTGTTCAACGACGACGTCCCAGGCTTCGGTTTGTCTTGCATGCATGCCGATAGCGGAGAACCTATAGATCCGGATTCAGCTGAAACAGCGGGTTAGCATTTTCCAATTTTAGGTTCGATTCAAACTGAATGCGGTGTTTTTTAATGATTTCAGGGGATCCGATGGTTTCGGGTACAGAATTGGCAACTTGTGAAGGCAATTTGATAGACTTCAATGAACTTTTCGACGATTCTCTGGATGGTCAAGATGCAGCTGATGCTGAAGCTGCTGAGAACAATTTTAGTTCGTCAATCAATACACCATTGATTGTGAAGAGTGAACCGATTTTCCCAACCCTCGACAAAGATCTTTAATGTTCAAGTGATTATTAAAATCAATTGAACATTTCAGAATCAGGCAACATTTTTCATGCTTTGGTATCCCATTCGGTTGAGGTTAGGAGAATTCATTAGATTGTTTTACAATTTCTTTCGGATGGTTTTTATCAATTCGACACATGAACTAGGGTGATGGCACAAAACATATAATGAAAAAAATTCGAATACCAGAATGTACAAGAACACATGAAAATATTTAGAGTCCAAATATAACCAAAATTTAGTTTGGTTTTCTTTTATCTAGCCTAGCCCAAAATCAGAAATGGTGGGAATGTTAGTATTGATAAAACAATATAAAAAATCATTCAAAACTGCTATATTCTGGATGTGAGTGGATATCATTTTTCGAGGCCATATAGTATTAAAAGTAAACCCCCCTGAAACTATTTGGATGCCACTAGTGAAGTGAAAACCATCTCCATTATTTTATCTATCTTCCAGTTTTTGTGTTTCTAATTTTATAGATACTGAACCAATTGTAGACCAATTTGGAATGAGGATAATAATATACTTTTTGAAATAGTGAAGTGGAAATTACAAAGAAAAATCATTTCACAAATTTTACAAATGTGCAAAATAACTTGGACTTTCCAAATATTTTTCTGAGTTTTGGATAATATATTGCATTTATAAAGGAAAACCTCAAAGGTTCAATTCACTTGTACTCTCCATGAATTTACACTCATATATCAGAGGAGGCATTGGATTGTATTTTTTGTGGTATTCATATGGTTTTATAGTGTAAACTTGTTATTTCTGGCTGTCAGCAAATCAAAATAATGGTTTGAATATATTTTTTTATTGGCTTGGAGCCGGCTGTTCCTGTTTGCTGCCGACAGGATGTTTTTTAAAACGAGGCTTCTTTGATGGCTTCAATAATGATTGTCAAATTTCACGATTTTTTCGGTTATCAACAGATATATGTCAAGAGCTGTTTATTCAAAATATTTTTGGTACTAAATGAAATGTGATTTGTGGATAGATTTTATTTAACAAAAATAGCAGTTTTTTTTTTTCATGTCAATCATTACAATCTCTGAAAATTTATTTTGTATATTTTCAGAAGTCACTAGCTGGAAAATTGTAGACACAACTAGCATTTCTGTTTTTTTTTTCATGGATTCCACACAAAATTTTGTATATTATTTTTTCTGCAGTTTCTTTTTTGTTCATTTTGTTGTTTTGTTCAAACAACATGTTTTCTCACTTCAGACATGTTTTTTTTTTCATTTTAAGTGCATTTTTTGCCTTTGAGATTTAGATTTTCTCAAAATATCTGTAAATATCCATTTGTTGATACATTAATATTCCTATTAAATTACTTATTGGCGAAATATATCTTTATTAATAACATCGTAAGTAGAGTTTTTTTTATTTTTCTAGTAATTCTTCATGATACAAATGAGTTCAGAACCAATGTTCACTCAAGTTCATTGAAACAGATAAAAGTTGGAAGTAAAAGGAAATTAACCAACCCATTATAGTATCAATTTCAATTCTCTTCAATTCTCTTTATATCAATCATCACCAGTAATTTATATTTATATGAAGGGCTTACAAATTGCTACAGTGTGATCAACTCCACAAAATATTTGTTCAACATACCCTCCTATGGCAACCTGAAATTATAATTTTTAGTTCAGATAATGGAATGAGGCAAGTGGACTAAATTTTTTTATTTCATTTCTTGAATAGAATCGTTCAAATACCTTTCAATTTCATATTTTTTGCTAAATCATCAATAATTTTCAAAGGGCTAGAAATTTAGCACAAGTAAAAACTGACATCAGGATTTCCCAAGTAGGGGCAGACCATAGCACAGTTGCCATTGAGAACTTCAGAAATATTAGTTATTAGCTTTGTTCGCGGATCACGTTTTGAATCGATTCGGAACCAGTCCAGAACTAATACAGAATTGTCGTACGGCGCATACCTGATTATGAACTGGTTCGCGATTTTATTTTTTTGAACTGTCCTACTGTTAGGCAAGTCTCCTAACATGGAGTAACGTGGAGTAACCTTCTCTGAATCCCCTTCCTGCCATTTATAATAATCAGAATTAGCATATCGATTTGCCAACTCTTCGGTCATTTCTCGAGTTAATCGAAAATGCTCTATATATTGTTCATCGCTAAACTGTGGCACCACTTCCTCAAAATATGCATTAGTCTTTGGAACTTCAATAAGTTCTAACAACTCTTCCATATCCTCATCGCTAGATGATAAATGGTCCGACATGGTAGATAGAAAAGAATAATAAAATAGACTAATAGACAAACTCTACTATATGAATGAAGATGTCAATTCATATCATATTCATAGGTTATAGTTATTCTTCTTGTTTGATCCGAACTTTTCGTCCTAACCAAAATCCTAGGATCGTTAGAGCCGATTCTGAATCAGTAATTAGGCGTTTTCGGAAACTTACTCTGGGTTGTTGACTCGATCTGAACGGGTCACGTGATGGATCAGTCGGATCACTTATCCTAATACTATAGTTTACGAACTTATCAGGTTACTATTTTATTGAGTTAGCTTTATACCTCTTGGAATAGAACTTCTTTATTTCTTACAGCTGTATGCAATTTTTTCAGTTTGCTATACGATATCAATATTTTCGGATCAATTTCTCCATATCTTTAAAAACATACCACTAAACTCTTAAAAGATACACGTTGTTATTGTTCTAGAAATGATGAATATTGCTTCTGCTCATGATGTTGGTGTATTTTCATCATCAAACTAATGCTAATCAACATAATTCACTTCTTGTTCAATTGATGAAATCAAATAATATCTGAAGTGACCTTAGAAATACATGAATCGTGAGTAGTCCTGTGGTAGTAAGTGTATGATCTGAAGTAGTAAATCTGGCTGACCCTGCTTTGGAGCAGGGTTGCGAAACATGAACCCGAGTTAGTGATCGAGTAAGTAACACCGAAGTTTCCGAACATGGGTATGTTACTCGGGTTAGGTAAACGAACGTGCAGGTTAGGGATCGAGTCAACCCCAGTAGGTTTCCGAAAACGCCTGAAAAGATCCGATGTGATCCGCGAACACGGAACTGTTACCGAAAATTCTGAACTATATGATCCGCGAACGCTGTTTTTCGGACTGTGCATGCGAATAGTCCCTGAACTGGTTCGGAATCGTACCCGTAAACAAAACTATTCAATAATTCATCTGACGTCACCATTCATCCTCAAATGGCGGCAATGATGGCAGAAGTTTGAAATAAGCACTCTGATATTCAATGATTTTGAACAGTAAATAGACTCATTATTTAGATAAAAAGTGGTGTAAAAATTAATTCAGGTCCCTAAGGACACAGTGGAGTGATTGAATGTCAATAATTCATTCAGTCCACTTGCCCCAATATTATTTTCACCTTCAGTGGGAAATACTGGTCCTTCTCATTCCCTAATCCAAGACATCCATACTTATTTCGTCCCCACATGTATAAGTCTCCAAAATTTGTGATGGCAGCAGCATTATACAATCCACATTTTACCTTAACCACTTTGCTATCTACCTGGAAGTGATTTTTACCAAAGAGGGTAGAGGGAATGTGAATGGGTACTTTGGATTGTTGTGCCTCAGGACCAGCACCCAATAATCCATAACCCCAAGAAAATACATTACCATCATCTCAAAATTAAAAAAAAATTATGAAAAGATTAGATGAGTTGGGATATTTACCATTCACTACTATGCAAAATGAGCCTGCAGTTGCTATACTCTTGATTTTCCCTAATTGGTCCAACATTTTTATGTGTCTTGGTGTTGAAATTTGTTGATCTTCATTTGCTTCAGTCATTTGGCTATATTCAGTGTTGCCCCATCCAAATACCTTGCCTTTCTCTAGAATCATTGAAAATGTAATGATCTCACATTTCACTCATCAGTTTTGAATACCATTCAAAGCCAATACAAAATCAGAACGACAAGTGAGCTCAGTGATTTTTTCTGATTCTATATCTCCCTTTACTCTGGAGAATTCTGCCCAGTTGTCAAAGTGGCCAAGTCCTGTCTGACCATCAGCACCCCAGCCACAAGAAAACACAGCACCATCTTCTGTAAGTGCTAAACTGAAAAGTACCATAGGTAAGACCTAATACCTATTCCATTTAATCTTTGACAATGATTTAGCCTATAGGACTCACATACCTATGATCTTGTCCACATTCAATATCTATTATAGTTTTGCCATTGATTTTCTCAATGTGGTTTACATAATTACTCATGATATAATTCTCATCTGATATAATACTCCTTCCACATTGCCCATAAGCATTATTTCCTAGAAGAAATATTCCTTCATTGGTAAGAATGGCTGTATGTGCTCTTCCTGCAGATACTTTGATAACCTTCGATTCCCTAGGATTTTTGAAAGGTAAGTGTATTGGTTTAGGTTGAAAAAGAATTTCCAGGGGTTTTCCTTGCCGTACCTCATGGTAACCAATCTGTGAATCAGTGTTTATACCTGTACCATAGAGCTTTTCATCTGTCTCACTTTTCACTGCAAAAATTGAGAAACCAAAACCACAAGCTGCTGTTGTAACCTGAAAAATATTTCATATTCCATCATTTAGTATTTTCCAATACTTGCGTTTCTTTCTCAGTAGCAAGGCTTTGGATACTTACTTCAAATGTTTCTCCTATTCTTACCCTTTTAGGATATTTCAAACAATCTTGTTTCTCAAGATCATCAGATGATTTCATATATGGTATGCCTAGTGCTCCAGTATATATATTTCCCCACGTAAATACTCTTCTATAACCTTTCTTGCTCACGTTATATTGAAAAACTAGAAATCAAGTCCATGGGATCAGAATCTTTCCCTATCATTTTACTGCTGCATTTACCAGGTAGTTTATTTGCCTCTTCCGGATCTACTGGATATTTTCTTCTACGAGTGCCAAAAAATCTTCTGCTTGAAATACATCTAATCCTCAATCCTAACTTGGTCAAATTCATGTTTCTAATATTCTAATCTTGAATCTTACTCCCTTATTGTTTGAAAAAAGTGTGGTTAGTACACCGTACACGGCAGTTGTATTGAGTTCATTGCAATTACTACGGTGTTGTAGGAATTGTAGTTGCTAGGAGATTGGCGGAAATTCCCATTCGGATGAAAACTTCAGATTTGTATTAGGATCTCATGAAATGCAGGAGGCACTAGGCAGGTCGAAACCATAGACCTATAATAGAATAATAGGTATTTGTCAAGTATAAGGTGGCTAGTCAAGTAGTAGAGTGATATATAGATGGCGTTGTATAAATACAAGATAAATACCTATGAAAAATGAAAATACCTTCCTGCAGAGATCCTGCACCATCGCAACCCAATCATCTCAAGAAAATGAATCATTTTTCTCGGCATATATGCCAAACGGGTTATACAGATTAAAAACAGAGAACATTGAAAAAATTAATGTATTCTTCACAGGAAGGAATCTGATAGATAGTACCAAGTTACAAAGTGCGAAAATTTGAAATATTGACGACGTTGATTTGGGTAGCAAATTCAAACAGGAGTTCAGGAACTCAAGTAGGTGTTGCAGCTGGTAAGAGAAGAGTACTTGAATTTTGATGGATGATATTCTTGATTTCGACCAATAGTAAATCGACAACGCTGTTTCTTGGGTCTTGCGCATTTTAAAAGCCACGTAAATAGGGAAAAATTCTCAATTCTGGTCGTGGCATTGAAGTTGACGTCTTGTTTAACACACCAAATCAATTTGCCGGCCAAAGTAACGAGAAAAGAATTGAAAAGATGTATTTGTTGAAAATTTTAACTTTGTGTTTGCTGTGCTATACATGTTCGGCGAGAGAAGAGGATGTCCTAGATTTGGTGGACAGCGACTTCAACTCAAGACTTGCTGAACATGAAACAGCTCTCGTCATGTTTTATGCACCATGGTAAGTTTTATTCAGTGAATTTATTAGTGAATCATTAGCATTATACCTACTGCTATCTGCAACCAGCAATTTCAAATCTTCTACCATTCCTTCGTTTGTCATTCAGGTGCGGACATTGCAAGAAATTGAAGCCAGAATTTGCCAAAGCTGCTGAAGATTTGATTAGAAACGACCCTCCTGTTGCTCTCATCAAAGTAGACTGTACAGAAGGTGGTAAAGACACTTGTAGTGAATATTCAGTTACTGGTTATCCAACTTTGAAGATTTTCCGCAATGGAGAGTTATCTCAAGACTACAATGGACCTAGGGAGGCCTCAGGTGAGAAAATGGTTATATTTACTTGATATTGATTCAACATCTGGAGTCCTAAAGTGTTAGGCTCAGAAAACAGTCACATTAACCTTTAGCAATGTCAGTATTCATCAAAAAGTGCACATTTCATAACCAAAGTCAATTAATAATTTTTGTTCAAAGGCATTGTGAAATATATGAAAGCCCAAGTGGGTCCCAGCTCTAAAGAACTCAAAAATGCTGATGACCTCAAGAAATTGTTGGCTGCTGAGAAAGAAAGTACTGTTGTTGGTTTCTTTGAAAAAGAGTCTGACCTGAAAGTTGCATTTCTTAAAATTGCTGATAAACTCAGAGAAAAAGTTAAATTTGCACACACCTCATCTAAAGATCTTTTGAAAGCCCAAGGTGTCAGGTATGTATTGTTATGATAATAATAATTGTATAATAGTACAGCTTTTGTGGATTGTTTTAGTGATGGCATTGTTCTATTCCGTCCTGAATATCTGAAGAACAAATTTGAAGACAGCAGTGTGAAATATCAAGGAACTGCAAATTCTGAAGAAATCAACAAATTCATAACTGAACACTTGTAAGTAAAATTTGATAATTAGCTTTCCTATTGTTTGAAAATGTGTTTTTCAGCCATGGATTAGCAGGTATAAGAAAATCTGACAACAGAGCTGAATTTGAGAACCCACTGGTTGTTGCATATTACAGTGTTGACTATGTCAAGAATCCTAAAGGTACCAACTACTGGCGTAATAGGATTTTGAAGGTAAATAAATATGTTCATTATCTTCACAACAGGTTGATAATTGCAAATCTATTGATATGTAGGTTGCCAAAGAATTCCAAGGAAGAGTCAAATTTGCAATAAGCCCCAAAGATGAATTCCAACATGAACTCAATGAATATGGTTTAGATTATGTTAAGGATGACAAACCAGTGATCACTGCTAGGAATGCCAAGAATGAAAAGTTCATTTTGAAAGAAGAATTCTCGTAAGTACATAATATGAATATCAAATTCAGTAGGATTGTTCAGATGATCATCAAGCCATACTAATTTCCATTGACAATGACTTATTATTTTCTCTGCTGATCATGCCAATATTGAATATCCAACTAAGTACATAATTTTTGTTTCTGTAGTGTTGAAGCCTTGGAAGTTTTTGTTAATGATATATTGGATGGAAATTTGGAAGCCTACATTAAATCTGAGCCAATCCCAGAAAGTAATAATGAACCAGTAGTTGTTGCTGTTGCAAAGAACTTTGATGATGTTGTGATCAACAATGGGAGAGATACTTTGATAGAATTCTATGCTCCTTGGTGTGGACATTGCAAAAGGTTGGAGCCAAAATATACTGAAGCTGCAGAAAAGGTAAGTGAACTATATTAGCATCAATTTTGATTGTTCTATTGGGAAAATGTAGGCATTCTAGGGAGTATATTCCAACATGAATTATTTTTCTTATTGATTTCCATAATCATGATTTTTATTTTCCAGTTGAAAGATGAAGATGTTGCCCTGGTCAAAATGGATGCTACTGCTAATGATGTTCCATTTGGATTTGAAGTGAGAGGCTTCCCGACGCTTTTCTGGCTTCCCAGGGACTCAAAGGATAGACCTGTTCCATTTGAAGGGGGCCGTGATACTGAGGACATCATCAAGTACATTGCTAAGCATGCTACAAATGAACTGAGAGGATATGACAGGAGTGGCAATACTAAATCTGATAAGACTGAATTGTAGTAGTTGTGAATTTTGGTTTAATTTATGATACATTAAGTGTTTTTAAAAACTTTTTATAATTCCATGTAGGTTAAACATACTTTTTTGAATACATCCATTTGATTTCATCTTTATATCTGTTCAGTATTTCTCAGGCTATTTATTCCATTTTGATTAGGAAAGTCCTGGTTTACTTTGAAAGTAATAATTCTTCCACATTTTCTCAACTTCAACTTGCTGGAAAAAACTTTGTAATACTTACAAGCACAATAAAAATTCTTCAAATTGTTCTTCCAATTTTCCTTACCTGCACACATTAACATCATTTGGATCATTGCATCTAAGTGAGCAAATCCAAGAATTATAAATTTAAGTTATATATTGTATTTTGATAAAGTAAACATCATTATCAAATTTCATTTAAAGTTTAGGTAATCATGACTGCTTTCTAATCCACCAACCTGATCAAACAAATAAAGTTTGAGGCTCAAGAATCAATTTATGGATAAAAAAACAGAAGAAATCATAATAATCTGGATAATAATATACAAAGTGTATTTGATGTCTGAACAGGGTAATTGAGATAATGATAATCACAGAGAATTATCAGTAATTTCATGTATTCATATTGAACAAAAATTTTTAAAACTTAATAAAATTATTCTAACTATTTTTATGCCATAAGTGCAACAGGCTCCTTTTCTTTCTCTTTCACTTTTTTGTCTTTGTTTTTCTCCTCGGGGATGATATCTTTGTCCATTTGTGGAATGGGTTCTACAGAAGGCACCTCAGGCATTTCTTCACTGATGATTGCAGCTAATTCTGCTTCCACAGCTTCTTCATCTTCTTCTGTGAGTTGTCCAGTCAATAGATCATTGATTTCATTTTGTTTTTCAACACCCTCTCGTGTTTCTTCAAGTATACTTTCAATGTCAGCAATATCCAGAGCATCATTGACTTTTTTGAGAGCATCGTTTCCTACCTTCAAGCCTTCAACTACTTGGAGCTCTACAATGGCAAATTCTATATCATGTGTAAGTTTCTCAAGGTTGTCCAATTGGCAGTCAGTTTTTACTAAGAGTTGTTCTTGATATCTCTTCTTCCGAAGCAGTAATTTGGCTCTATCTTTTTGTCCACTGTTCAGAAGTTTTTTGGCTAGTTCCCTATCTTTAGTCAAGGAAAGTTCTATTCTCTTTTGATACATTTTAATCTTATCTCTTTGTTGCTTTAGCTGCAAAACTGCTTTGTCCTGCTCTGTTACCCTTGAAGGTTTCTTCTTTTTACCAAATATGATGCCCATGTTGAGGCTGGTTTACCTGATTTTTACCTAAAATCCTCACGACTTTAGGAGAATGCAGAAATTATATCCAATCATGAATGTGGAGTTGAATGTGTTCAACTAAAAAACTAGATGAAGACAATTACTAAAAGCCCGATATTTTTCAAGAAAAGACAGTTTTTACTCACTTGAGTTTTTTCGATTATATTTTTATATCAATTCTGCTCATAAAATTCTCGAAAACAAATACAAAATACCATATCATAGCAAAACACAAATCGTATAATCACAACATAACCTCAAACAATAACAGAAGAAAAAAGTACCAAACCATGCGAGTTTTCTGTTCTCCGGGTTATCGAAAGAAATTCCATTTCTCAAAAGGCGCTAAGTCCCAAAATCCCCTATTCAATATTTAATATAATACCCACTTAACATTCTGTTATCCTGGGACTCAAAATCCAATTCCCTTCTCACTGTTTATACGATTCCGACAGACCGCCACCACCATCACCATTTGAATTATTGATGATTATTGTAAACGTCATTCTGTTCCCACCACCGTTACCAGAATGGAACTATGGATTATGGAACAAATAAACCGCAACCAGAGATCCGCAACTACTCACTTCAGGAACGCTAACCTTGCTAAGCATAGGAGTGAAGAATATTCAAGAACTTACCTGAATAATCGAAAAACGCAAAAAAAGTATCTTCTGTCAAAAAATGCTTGAAATCACAGAGATATAGGGTGTTCAAAATCGAGATTTTTCAACTTTAGGTTTTCTTTGTGTCGAAACTATTCATTATCGGCCAAAACGGCTCACATATGTTCCTATCTCAACTTCTGATTTACTATTTACTGATATTTAATCGGAACAGATACAGAGGATGATCAGAATTCTGAATCTTAAACCACCCTGTACCTGTTCCGATCAAATATCAGTCAATAGAGAATCAAAAGTTGAGGTATAGGGACATGTGAGCCGTTTTGACCGATAATGAATAGTTTCAACACAAAAAAATCCTAATGTTGAAAAATCTCGAATTTGAACACCCCATATCTCTGTAATCATTTTTGATAGACCCCAAAAATGTGATATATTGATTAAATCAACTCTTTAGCCTTCATTATATACACTAGTGGCAGAATCTAAAAATGCGATGGAATACAAAATCATGACGAAAACCCTAGCGCCATCTCTATTAGTATTAGGGAAACTCCAATAGATGTTTGGCTGCTTTCAGAAAGGAAATACCATCTAGCTATCAGGATAGCAGAAGATCAAAAGGTTTCTTTTCTCCTATGTGAGATCTAGGACCTAGGATATATTTGGCGTATTACTCAAAATATTTGTTCTGCTTGGTTGAATATAGAATTCGTTCCTCGAGCGAGTATTCACATCATGTTTATCACTGTTGCGAGCAAACAGTTGCTTGTTAACAAATACATAGATACTTAAATTCAAATATAAGGAGTCTGATGTTTTAGTGTTTTTTAGGATATCTGGAAATCCTATGTATAAAGTTTTATGTGTCATTTCGAATGGAAACAAATAACGGATTCAACCACGGTTCAACTAAATAATAAAATACCTACATGTCGTATCACCAAAATTATAACCCCTGAAGAAATTGAGTACGCCACTGCTGAATTCTTCGCAAAATTCTCTGTTAGACGTAGTATTCATCTTATATCTTGTATACTATATACCTGTCCCCCCTGTATAATTTCATTATCGTCATTATTCATAGATAAATCATTTGTTCGGAGATTTATCAGTTAGCAGCATGATTCATCCTATTAGTCATTCATTCGAGAACAGGTGGTGAATCAAGACAGTCTTATATTAGATGTCATCATGTACGGTCGAATTTTGTGTTCGCAATTGAAAAATACGCTAAAGGAATTATTTTTCGTTCCAAACGGAGTGTTCACTTAAAAATGAGTGCAAGTGTAGTGTTTTTGTATCCCTCATTCAATTCAGTGATTACATTATCGCGATCGTGTGCTGTTCTGGTGTTTCGTGTTGTTTCATCAAAGCTTCGCATTTTTCACGCTGGTGAGTGAATAGAGATTCTCTGTTTTTCCTCATATTTCCCTGTTTATATGTAACTTGATTACCTTATATGTTTTCGAAATAAGAAACGTCTGTTATTCGTTGAATACTTCCAAGATAATAATTCGAAACGAGCAAACCAGAAGAAAATAAGACGATTCGAATTTTTTTCATGGAAAAACAACTTTTTCCTATACAGAGTGTTTCAGATTTGAATGTACATACTGAACCTATAGATAGAGGGAACTTTGGTGGTTCCAATCACCCCCTATGAATGTGTCTTCCATCTTTCATTCGATCTTATATAATCAAAATAATATGTCACGATGAGCTTACACTATCTTTATATCGAGAATCAGTCGAGAGAAATCCATGAAAATGTGCATGCTTATATTTCAGAATATTCTCGCTTCATGTAAAATATTTTCGACAATGCAGTGTTGCCGCTTCTACTAGAAAGTAGTAGCAACATTAATATTTCAAATGGAATACCCTGTATTCCATCGCATTTTCAGATTCTGCCTAAAGAGCTGATTTCATCAATATATATCACACTTCCCAGATAACACACATACATCCATTGGATGTCCATTTTGAATCCATTAGGTAGCCGGATGTCCATGGATGTCCAATGGACATCCATTGTGTATATGTACAATGGACATAGAGATTTGTACATACAATGGACATCCATTTTGTAGTTGTACAATGGACAACGAAATTTTTACAGCCAATGGATATCCATCATACTTATATCCAATGGAAATCGTTTCGCAAAGTATGTATATATGTGTCATTTATGACTCTTCTATTCCAATTGAAATATTTTTACCAATAATATATAATATATATATGAACATTAATCACGGACAACTTCGCACTCGGTACTATTTTTCAAGATTTTATACGTCTCATCATTTTTGTAGGTTACGTACCTATATATAGAGGTAGGCAAGAGGTAGGTACTTATTTTGAAGTTGATTTTCATCCAATTTCAATTTTAAACCATTTAGGCCGTGCAAATAAGATCGATATGGGCAAATATTATACGGCGGGTTTCTTTCGAAAAAGATGAATCACCCTGTAACACTTTTGATAAGGGCCGTGTAAAAGCTTTATTGCGGCACTAAACTTCAGCAAATTGCATTTTCTCTCGATGTGAAATACCGTGAATACGAAATACTTGCTATAATATTTATAACAGCTCAGTGGTCCAGAGGTTAGCGTTGTGATCCACGAGATCGGGGTCCGGAGTTCAATCCCCTCAAAGGACAACTTTTTTTTAATTTCTACGTTCTGGCTGGACAAAATTTGGATATCCAATGGAAATCCAATGTATTCCTGATGAGTATCCAATAAACTTATCATTGGAATTTACATAAGTTGGATTTTTGGTAGACATCCATTAGAGTTCTGATGTGTATACAATGGTATTTCAAATGTAATGGACATACAATGGATCTTCATTGGGAATCCATTGGATGTCTGATGAGTATCCAATACACTTCCAATGGAAAGGACAAATATTGGATGTCCAATGGAAATCCATCAGATGTCTAATGGAAAGCCAATGGACTTCCAATGTATGTCCAAACTGTTGGACATGTATTATCCAATGGATGTCCATTGGACAAATACTGGACAATGCCGTCCATCCAATGGATGTCCAGGGTATCCATAGCTGGACATCCATTGGTTGTCCAATGGATTCACTTGTGTTGTCTGGGTTGGGGGTCTATCAAAATTAATAACAGAGATATGGGGTCTTCAAATTCGAGATTTTTCAACTTTAGGATTTGCTTGTGTCGAAACTATTCATTATCGATCAACACGGCTCACATGTCCCTATCTCAACTTTTGATTCACTATTGACTGATATTCGATCGGAACAGATCGATACAGGTGGTTCAAGATTCACAATTCTAATGAGCATGCAATTTTATTCATTAATTTCTCCCGAATGATTCTCGATATACAGATAGTATGTAAGCTCGTCGTGACATACCCTGTATAGTAAATCAGACATAATAATTGTTGAAGTGAAACTTGGATACTCCATGGCCCACTAGCAAAAATTCATCATAGTCTGATGTTTTAGTGTTTTTTAGGATTTCTGGAAATCCTATGTATAAAGTTTTATGTGTCATTTCGAATGGAAACAAATAACTGATTCAACCTCGGTTCAACTGAATAATAAAATACATGTCGTATCACCAAAATCATAACCCCTAAAGAAATTGAGTACGCCACTGCTGAATTCTTCGCAAAATTCTCTGTTAGACGTAGTATTCGTAGTAACTCAGCACAACCCTATTTCTAATAACTTCATAGAGAAGCCTGGTAGTCTAAACCAAAATGTACATTCAGAACTGAAACACCTTGTATATCTCCTTGTGCATTTTACACTCTTCGAGAAATTTGCTAGATTTTTCCACTACTTCTGACTGTTAAATTCTTTCAAATCACTGGAGATTTTCGTGAAAATTATATTTTTAGCATGTGTTTGAGTTTTTCAAATCGTTAGAGTTTCGAAAATAATAATGCCAGTATATCCGTGTTCAATTCTTAATCTTATATCTTGTATACTATATACCTGTCCCCCCTGTATAATTAATTTCATTATCGTCATTATTCATAGATAAATCACATGTTCGGAGATTTATCAGTTAGCGGCATGATTCAACCTATTAGTCATTCATTCGAGAACAGGTGGTGAATCAAGACAGTCTTATATTAGATGTCATCATGTACGGTCGAATTTTGTGTTTGCAATTGAAAAATACGCGAAAGGAATTATTTATCGTTCCAAACGGAGTTTTCAATTAAAAAATGAGTGCAAGTGTAGTGTTTTTGTATCCCTTATTCAATTTAGTGATTACATTATCGCGAACGTGTGCTGTTCTGGCTTTTCGTGTTTTGTTTCATCAAAGCTTCGCATTTTTCACGCTGGTGAGTGAATAG